CACTGTCCCTCAGCTCTTCAGCTCAAGGCTAGCACTCCACCACTTGAGCTACAGCGCCACTTCCGGTTTTCTAGTGGTTTATTGGAGATAGGAGTCTCACGGTCTCTCCTGCCCGGGCTGGCTTTGAACCACGATCCTCAAATCTCAGCCTCCTGAGTAGCTAGGATTACAGGCGTGAGCCACCAGCGCCCGGCTATATTAGTATTTTAAGTTTTAAACATTTTCACAATTCATTTTGTAAGCTTTTATTTTTAACAGATAAAATAAAATTCTTGTACACATTTCTAAAATTACTATTCAGAAATTTTATACTTAAGTCAACAGTGTTTAGTAAAAAATATTTTGAATTCTCTACCTAAAATATAAAAAAATCACATTCTCTTTATTATCTTAAACTGAAAATCTTTATCTTCCTGAGGGAACATATATGTATCAGAAATGCATTTTTCTTTTTCTGGTTTTTTTTTTTGGTCTTTGGAGACAGGGTCTCACTCTAGCCCAAGCTGACCCCAAATTTAAGATTCTCTTTCCTCAGCCTCCCAAGTGCTGCAATTACAAGCTTGTGGCCACCATATTTGGCTCAGAAATACATTTGTCAAATGTATTTTCAAGTTTTGAAAACATCAAATGATTAAAAATTTGGCTTTCTCATTTCTTGTCTGTTGCTGTGAGTTTATAGTTGGGTTGTGTACATAGTTTCTGGTGTCCTAAATATTCTCTACTCAAACATCACTGGCTCTGCAAGGCAGTGGTGCCAGTGTCCTAGTAAAGTATTAGAAGGGAAGTCTGGGACCTTTGTAAGCTTCTGGACTTTCTGTTTACTTTGAGAAGCAAAAGGGTAGGAATCAAATACCCCTTCCCCAAATAGTTTCTGACAGGCAAATGTGTATGTATCTATTGTAAGTAATTCAAGAATATGCATATATATTTTTGAATTGACATTCAATGTCTAGTTATATATCAGGAACTTTTAAGATAAATATAAGATTTAAATCTCTTTTGCTGACTTTCCATTAATAACATGTGAAAAAAAACAAACTCTTCTTTCAAGATTTAAAATTCAAGATTGCTTCTCCACTTCTTCAGCTCCTAATAAGCACTGAGAAGCAATTTGCATCAATTCACCACCTACTCCTTGGCATCCCCAATTCCTCCAGCAGTTATTGCGAAGGTGGCTTCATTTTCAGGCATCTCAGGGCTAACAGAATACAAGGGAACAGAAGTTTATAAAAAGCTCTATTTCTATAAATACTATATTCATGTCACAGGCAACATGCTCCATCAGTCTGAGTCTCCAAGGACAGCGCAGACTTGGTGCAGCTAAATGTGGACTATGGAATTTGCCTGCAACTTTTATTAACCCTCACAAACATTTGTTCAACAAATTCTATGTATAAGGTTCTGAATATCAAAAAACTACCCCAAACTTGGAACCAGACAAGAGGGATAACTGCACCTTTTACGGTACTGTCATGCTCTCAGACTTTCAGAGCCTCTTTTCTTTAGAAAAATACAGCCTTAGTTAATTTTGTTAGTGTAATGAAAAGATGATTAGAGACCAAAACAGTTGACCTCACAGAGCATGTTCTTAACTATATTGCTCCTCAAAGATTTTGCTTGTTTGTTGTTGTTTGTTAGAAGATTGAAGGCAGTATACTTCTAGTGTACAAGGGTAAAGTTACTTCTCTTAGGAAATAGCAGAGGGGTTTCCTGAGGATAGCAATGGAGGATAGATAAGGTAGGCCTTGCTACACTCTTAACTGGTGTTGAGTAAGTAGATCTAAGTGGAATTACAAAATAATTTAGTAGCTTTATTTGAAACAATACTACCAGCTACTTTGAAATGGCAAAAAGTAAAATGAAAACTCTCTAGAGTTAGTTAAGGAGGAAACCCATACAAAGTATTTGTAAAGTTGAACAAGGGCTGTTTTCTCTGTGCTTATTTTTAAAACAGAATCAGAAGTAATTGCTTCAGAAAATTTGATCAGGAGTATGATTTTTCACTTTCTGATAGTTATTTAAAATTTTGTCTTTGACTTCAATGGGGGGAGGTGCCCAAGTGAGTGCCCACGCATGCGCACACACATGCACACCCTGGGACTAAACTCAGGGCCTGGGCACTCACTGTTCCTGAGCTTTTTTTGCTCAAGAACTCTACTATTTAGACCACAACTCCCCTGGCTTTTTGGTAGTTTATTATAGGACTTTCCTGCCCAGCCTGGCTTTAAACCTTGATCCTCAGATCTCAGCCTCCTGAGTAACCAGGATTATAGGCATCAGCTACCAAAGCCCATCTGTGGAGTGCTGGGATTGCAGGTGTGCCCTACCATACCTGGTTTAAGGAAATTATGTTTAAATTGAAAACCTGAAAAGCATTAAGCTGGTAAAGAGGAAAAGGAAAATATATTCCCTTACTTTGCACTTCCTCAGTGTCTTAATACCTTTTTGTTGGAATTGATGTTAGTTACCTATTTAGCTTCACTGTACGGAAAAGACAGAGACCAACGATATGTGACTACAGAATCCCTAAACCTCTAGTATCTATCACACACTAGGAACATTCCAATCAATTGCCTAGGTTTTGAGCAAGAACTGCCAACAGAGTATCTGCCAATGGAATAATTATAGCTTCATAGGAGAGGAAATTATGTTTAAAATCATATATACAAAAATCTGATGAAGAAAAAGAAAAAGACTTGCCTGTCATAAATCTTAGCAATTCTCAGTTCTCCTCTTCCCTTTCGCAAGCTTATTCTTGTTGTTGAAGCATGAGCCAGAATGTGGCCTCCGATGGGTTTTTTTGGATCTGCCTGGAAGCTGAATCAATAAAATGCCTTTTCAGGTTTCATCATAAAGACTGTATGTAGAGATATTGCAATGGCAAGACAACCTTTCTGGGCTGGGAAGGTGGCTCAGTGGTAGAGCGCTTGCGTTGCATGCTTGAGGCCCTGGGTTTGATTCCTCAGCACCACATAAGTAAAAAGCTGGAAGTGGTGCTGTGGCTCAAGTGGTAGAGTGCTAGCCTTGAGCTGAAGAGCTGAAGGGACAGCACCCAGGCCCAGAGTTCAGGCCCCACGACTGGACCCCCCCAAAAAAAATTTTTTTTAAATGTCTTTGAACTTCTTGAGTATCCTAGCAGTTATAACCAAGTCTTGAGGTAATGTACGAGAAGGTATAATAGCACTCTGAAATCTTTTAAAGGGCTTTAATTTACTTCTATTTCTGACCAAGTTAAAACAGCACCAGAAAGCCACCCACATCCTTCCGGAGCCTATTCCTCCATTTTCCCTTTTTATGTTCCTTTTCCTTTGCCCCCTTTCTCAGGAGACTGAGGAGTAGAGAGGAGGCAATGGGGATAGATATTAGGAATGAAGAGAGAATTATTCATTTCTCCCACTCTGGTTGAACAAGTGATAGAATTGTTATCATTGCAAGTAGGACCCAGAACAACCGGGCCTTTCAACTTTGAATTAGGATGCTGGGGTCATGAAATATAGAGCTATGGGATGGGATACAATGGATGAGTTCTGAGAGGAAAGGAGTACCAACATTGAATTCAAAGATACCTGAATTCAAATCCTGACCCTTCTATTTTTTTAATTGTATGATTGGCTAGGCTGTAAATACTCCCTTCCCACCTTTGTTAATCAGGAATACTCACAATACTTCCTTAAGTTCTGGTCAGAGTATAACTCTGAGAGCCACAGTGTGCTTGTGGGCATTCTTGGTACTTTTCCCTTGTAAGTTTTTGTTGTTGTTGTTGTGGGGCTTGAACTCTGGGTATGGGCACTATCCCTGAGCTCTTCAGCTCAAGGCTAGCACTCTACCACTTGGGCCACAGCACCACTTCTGGTTTTCTGAGTGTTTTATTGGAGATAAGAGTCTTACAGACTTTCCTGCCCTGGCTGGCTTTGAACTGTGATCCTCAAATCTCAGCCTCCTGAGAAGCTAGAATTACCGGCATGAGACACCAGTGGCCAGCTTGGAGTAGGTCTTTTTTGAGAAAGGGGTTTATTGAGGAGAGAAAAGTGAATGAACTAAAATGATGGGGAGGCCCTGAGTTCAGGAAGATTAGGGAGAAGAATACTGCCAGAAGAGAAGAATACTGCCAGAAGAGAATTCCTGAAAATAAAAAACTTTATTTTAAAGAGTTTTTTTTTTTTCTTGGTCATGGGGCTTGAACTCTAGGCCTGAGCACTGTCCCTCAGCTCTTCAGCTCAAGGCAAGTATTCTACCACTTGAACCATAGCTCAACCATTTCTGGTTTTCTAGTGGTTTACTGATGATAGGAGTCTCATGGTCTTTCCTGCCCAGCCTTAAAGAGTATTTTAAAGAAGTTTTGTTAAGTAATACTACCATTCTGTCTGCTCCAAAAAATGCAACCCCCCAAAAAAACAAAAACAAAAAAACCCAACCCACCCCACACCTCTATTTTTTTTTTTTTTTGTCATGGGGCTTGAACTCAGAGTTCCTGAGCTCTTTTACTCAAGGCTAGCATTCTACCACTTTGAGCCACAGTGCCACTTCATTTTCTAGTGGTCAATTTAGAGTGGTCAATAAGAGTCTCATGGACTTTCCTGCCTAGGCTGGCTTCAAACGAAGATCTTCAGATCTCAACTTCCTCAGTAGTTAGGATTAGAGGTGTGAGCCACTGGTGCCCATCAACCTCTATTCTTTTTTCAACATTTGAAGATGGAATTTTGGTTTTATGAGATTGGTTTCATAGTAAGCACAGGAAGGCAGTAGGAGGCTGAGAGAAGATGATGCATAAAAGCATCTGGTCCCTGGAAAGTAATCAATAAATCTAAGTGTTATTAATTTTGGGTGGTTCAATTAGTCTAAATGCCTTGCACAAAGTCACTGGTTTAATGTTTTTTTTTTCCCGTAAACATATTGCCTCTTAAGTTATGCTAATGAAGTTAGTAGGTGACAATTTTAGAGAAGAAACTGTACATTTATAAGGCTGCAGCCAGGCACTGGTGGCTCACGCCTGTAATCCTAGCTATTCAGGAGGCTGAGATCTGAGGATCATGGTTCAAAGCCAGCCTGGGCAGGAAAGTCCGTGAGACTCTTATCTCCAATAAACCACCAGAAAACCGGAAGTGGCGCTGTGGCTCAAGTGGTAGAGTGCTCGCCTTGAGCTGAAGAGCTGAAGGACAGTGCCCAGGCCCAGAGTTCAAGCCCCACGACTGACCAAAAAAAAAAAAAAGGCTGCACATATTCTCACTTTTATTTTAGGAAAAATATACAATGAATGAATGCAGCCACCACGGTGGCTGTTGTATTCACTGCTAATCGTAGTTTGCTCTGGTATGCAGCTGGTCAGGCTGGTCCTTTGACTTCCTATCTCTAGGATTCATCAGCTGGATCTTTTCCTGTTTTTTAAAAACTGTATCTGTAGCTTTGTCTGGGAGTTGCTACTCTGCTGCATTGTATGGCAGCTACTTGCCTCTATAATTTTGTTCCCTTTTAATACAATGTGTCGTCAAGTGTAATGCATAGGATATAAGCCTCAATTATTGTCAGTGTTCTTGGGGACCCATACCAATTACGGTGATATTTCTCTGACAAGCCAGGCAAGTTGCAGCTTGGATTTCCTCAACACTGAGAAACAAAGATATTTTCTTTATGGGAGGTTTTCTAAAGCATTTGGAATTCTTTAGTTTTTCATTTAGATGTGGTAATTTTTGTGTTTTACATGAAGACAGTGTTTAATCTGTACTTCTGTAATTTAATATACTTCAGAACATACTAATTATAGTGAACCTTGTTTCCTTACAAGTTGGCTAGGTGGAAGAAATGTTTCATGGCAGACTTACCCAGCAAAAATACAAGCCTTTGTTACCTTCTCTGGCTCTCTACTTAGTTCTCTTCATTATAGATCTCCTCTTTCCTTACCTCCTGCAATTATTTCCTTTTTGTCATATCTCTATATCTCCTTTCATTGTCTTATGGGAGAAAAGTCAAAATGGTTTTACTCTTTGAAACTTTCTACAAATATAAGAAAAAGAACCCCTGTCTGACCTAATTTCCACTGATTTTTTTTTTTGCCTTGTAACTCTAGAGTGACAGTTTTGGCCTCTTCAATATTCCCTCCCCACACCTGAAGAAAGAACATTGCTTTTTAGCTTGTAATGTTTTATTTGAATGCAACCCACTTCCTCCCTCTGAGCCAATGAGTCATTTTCTCTTTTTAAAGCAAGGCTTAAAAATCTTCCATTTCTTTTCAGTTTAAAATTATTCGTTATGAAGTACTTCGTGTCCTGTCTATGAAAGACAGCCCATAAGATAGAAAACTGCCTTAAGTACTCAAGGACTACACTAGAGATCATATGTGACATACTAAAACTTTGAATATTAAGTTCAATGGTTAAATGGATACCATTTGTATTTCTTCCTTTTGAAGCAAGATTTTTTTTGTCTCTTTTTCATTAGTAAATTCTCAAAATCTTATTACATAGTAGGTTTTCATGAAATACTTGGTGAATTAATGATGACTGAGTTTCTACTCACTCTCTCCATTTTTGAATGGATATTGAACCTAGAGCCTCAAACATACTAAGCACATACCTTAACACTGAGCTATACTCTCAGTCCCCCTACTCAATGTTTCTAACTGCTTAATACCAATTATGTAGTTAGAATTTTTCACATTGGAATCTCTGGTAATTGTATAGAAAATACTCATAAAAGGTAGCACAAAATGAGTAATATCATACTGTAGAAGATGTAGAAATACTGTTAGGACAAATCTAGGAAAAGCATAAAAAGACATATTTAATTCGCACAATTTATAGACTTTCCACTAGTGTACCAAATATCTTCTAGCATATATGTCTATATTGTTTATCTGCCACTATACTCTACTTCCTTTTTTTGTTGTTGCTGTTGGTCATGGGGGTTGAACTCAGGGCCTGGGTGCTGTCCCTGAGCTCTTTTTGCTCAAGGCTAGCATTCTATCCTTTGAGCCATAGTTCCACTTCCGGTTTTCTGGTGATAATTGGAGATGAGTTTCATGGGTTTTCCTTCCTAGGCTGGCTTTGAACTGTGATCCTCACATCTTAGCCTTTTTTTTTTTTTTTAAGATTGTGGGGCTTGAACTCTGGGGACCTAGGCACTGTCCCTCACCTCTTCAGCTCAAGGTTAGGGCTCTACCACTTGAGCCACAGTGCCATTTTTGTTTTCCAGTGGTTAATTGGAGGTAAGAGTCTCACGGACTTTCCTGCCTGGGCTGGCTTTGAACTGCAATCCTCAGATCTCAGCCTCCTGAGTAGCTAGGATTACAGGCATGAGCCATTGGCATCCGGCAATCTTTGCCTTTTGAGTAGCTAGGCGTTACAGGTGTAAGCCACAGAAAGTACCTGTCTTGCTTGGCTTTTTTTTGCTCAGGGTTGGTGCTCTAAACACTTGAGCCAGGCTTCCACTTCCAGCTTTTAACTGGTTAATCGGAGATAAGAGTCTAAAGATTTGTCTACCTGGTGCTGGCTCTGAACCCCAACCATCAGATTTCAGCTGCCTAAGTAGCTAGGATTAATGATATGACTCACAGAGCCCGGCTAATGTGAGATATGCTGAAGTATTAAGTGAAGTGTCTGTAATCTTACTTAGAAAGATGAGATTAGGAGAATTGTGGCTTGAAACCAGCACTGGCAATAAATAAATAAAAAAATAAAAATTACAAGACCTCTTTCTCAACTTAGAGCTGGGTACAATGGGCCATGCCTGTTATCCAGCTATGATGGGAAGCCTAAAATAGATAGATCATGATCCACACATGTGACTCAGCAGGAAGTAAGATCCTTGACAGGCCTGGAGGCATGTTTCAATCGTATAGCATCTGCCCAGCAAGTGCACAAGACCCTAAGTCCAAACCCAAGTGCTGTCAAAAAAGAAAGAAAAACACCTCTTAAATGGTTTATATAAAGTACAATATAGACAGGAATATGGCTTTGTGGTAGAGTGCTTGCCTAGCACGCATGAAGCTTTGGGTTTGATTCCTCAGTACCACATAAGCGTGGTTAAAGCAGTAGAGTGCTAGCCTTGAGTAAAAGAAGCTTAGTGACAGTGTCCAGGCCCTGAATTCAAACCCCAGGACAGGCAAAAAAATTTACAATATATGTGTGTGTGTATGTGTGTTCATATACACACATATATACATATAAGTAAATGTATGGACAGATTTTTATGAATATACACACCATATACACATACATGTAAAACAAAAAAGGCAAACTATTAATTGATGAACCTGGATAAATGATAAGTATTTCTTTTTGTGCTTTCAACTTTCCTTCAGTTAAAAAATTGTCTAAGCTGGGGGTGGTGGTTCACGCCTGTAATCCTAACTACTCAGGAGGCTGAGATCTGAGGATTGCAGTTCAAAGCCAGCCTGGCCTGGGCAGGAAAGTTAGTGAGACTGTTATCTCCAAAAAAACTACCAGAAAATCAGAAGTGGAGCTGTGGCTCAAGTACCAGAGCTGTGGCTCAAGTACTAGAGCACTAGCCTTGGGTGGAACAGCTGAGGGACATAGCACCCAGGCCCCGACGGAAAAAAAAAATTTCCTAAATAGTTTCTTTAAGGGGCTGGCAATGTGGCTTAGTGATAGAGTGCTTGCCTGAAGCACTGAAGCCCTGGGTGTACTCCTCAGTACCACATAAACAGAAAAAGCTGGAAGTGGTGCTGTGGCTCAAGTGGTAGAGTGCTAGCCTTGAACAAAAATAGCTCAGGGACCATGCCCAGGCTCTGAGTTCAAGCCCCAGGATTGGAAAAAAAAAATCTTTAAAAAGTCATTATCGGGACTGGGAAGTTGGCTCAGTGGTAGAGTGCTTGCCTTGCATGCATGAGGCCCTGGGTTCCATTCTTCGGCACCACATAAGCAGAAAAAGCTGGAAGTGGCGCTGTGGCTCAAGTGGTAGGGTTCTAGCTTTGAGCTGAAGACAGCACCCAGGCCCAGATTTCAGTCCCCACAACGAACAACAAAACAAAACAAACAAGTCATTATCATACTTATGTAACTGTAACTCCTCTATACATCACCTTAACAATAGAAAAAAAAGTCATTGTTGCTAGGGCACTAGTGGCTCACACTTAAAATCCTAGCTACTTAGGAGTCTGAGATCTCAAGATAGTGGTTCAAAGCTAGCCAGGGCAGGAAAGTCCATGAAACTCTTATCTCCAATTAACCACCAGAAAACCAGAAGTGGCGCTGTGGCTTAAAGTGGTAGAATGCTTGCCTTGAGCTGAAGAGATTAGGGATAGCACCTAGGCCCAGAGTTCAAGCCCCACAACTGACCAAAAAAAAAAAAAAAAAAAGCCTAGTGTACATTGAAATTCTGTAGGATATCAAGTAGTAGACTTTCTCTAAACCTCTTTTAAGTGTATCTAATGTATATCTTGTAGAAAACCTGAACTTTGGGTTTAAGACTAGCAGCGTATCATTGTAATACATATGTGTATGGAATATGTTTCAATTTCTCTAGGACCTATTCTTTTACTTTATGATCTCTATATATTTAAACCAAAATGAAGCCCCCAATACTAGTGGAAATGGTAAACTATTGCTTTTGCTTATAAGGAACTACAGAAAAGTGAATTCTGGGTAGAATTTGCAATCATGAAATATGCACTGTGAAATAAAGAGCTTTGTGATATATCTGTGCCCACAATAAGGTTAGTTTTTATTATTACTATAATTATTTGATATAGGGTCTTACTCAAACTTTTTTTTTTTTTTTGTCAGTTGTGGGGCTTGAGCTCTGGGCCTGGGCACTGTCCCTCAGCTCTTCATCTCAAGGCATGTGGGCTACCACTTGAGCCACAGTGTCACTTCCTGTTTTCTGAGTTGCTTATTGGAGATAAGAGTCTTACAGACTTTCCTGCCCAGCTGGCTTTGAACTGTGATCCTCAAATCTCAGCCTCCTGAGTAGCTAGGATTACAGGCGTGAGCCACTGATACCCGGTTTAGCCTCAAACTCTTGATTCTCCTTCCTCTACCTTACCAAGCACTAGGATTGCAAGTGAGCACCACCATGCCTGGGTAAGGTTGATTATTTTAAAATTATTTTATTCTATAGTCTAATCCTCTTGATATTAGCTTCTGTAAAATACAGAAACAGAATACTAGGACTTACGTCATAGTTGCTCCTGGATCAGCAGTCATTTGATTGGTCACGAAAATAGCCACGTTATATTCTGCACCAAGAAATAAAATTAACAAGATGAGGGGACAATAAAATATAAAAATTTAATGTTTAGATTTCAGAATTTAGTTTTCTCTTTTTTCTTTTTTTTGTCAGTGATGGGGCTTGAACTCTGGGCCTGGGTGTTGTCCCTCAACTCTTCAGCTCAAGGCCAGCACTCTACCACTTGAGCCACAGCACCACTTCCAGTTTTCTGGTGGTTTATTAGAGATAAGAGTCTCACACACTTTCTTGCCTGGGCTGGCTTTGAACCACAATCCTGAGATCTCAGCCTCCTGAGTAGCTAGGATTACAGGCATGAGCCACCAGTGCCCTGCCTGAATGTAGTTTTCCATATACTAATTGTTACAACAGAAAAATGGACAGGCTAAATGTTCACTGAAGAAAATTTCATAAACTTGTATCTTTTATCATGATGTGAATCTTTATATTAAAACTTAAAAAAATCTGTTTAGAAATATTGCATCTGAAGGCTGGGAATGTGGTTTAGTGGCAGAGTGCTTGCCTAGCATGCATGAAGCCCTGGGGTTTGATTCCTCAGTACCACATAAACAGAAAAAGCCCAAAGTGATGATGTGGCTCAAGTGATAGAGCACTAGTCTTGAGCACAGAGAGGCTCATAGACAGTGCCTGGGCCCTGAATTGAAGCCTCAGAACTGGCAAAAAGAAAAAAAATATTGCATCATTAATTTATGTTGTTTTGTTTTGGGGTCCAGTTGTGGGGCCTGAACTCTGGGCCTGGGCGCTGTCCCTCAGCTCTTCAGCTCAAGGCTAGTGTTCTACCACTTCAGTCACAGCGCCACTTCTGGCCCTTTCTGTTTATGTGGTGCTGAGGAATCGAACCCAGGGCCTCACGCATGCAAGGCAAGCACTCTACTACTGAGACACCTTCCCAGCCCCATGCATCATGAATTTATTAACATGATCAAATTCCTATTTTGCATTGAGAACAGAAATTAATTTATTTAAACTTACTATTTACATCAAAATCAGTATTTTTAGTTAGGTTATATTCCCAAATACCTTCTGACATTATTCTGAGCAAATGTGCAAAGCACACTTAGCAAACAGTCATAGATACTATTCTGACAGTGCTATTTTATTTGAAAGATCTACCTTCTGAGATTTTTTGGAGACGTGACAACATCTGGGCCAATTTTTGCTGCCGTTCAGCCAACTCCCCACGACCACTGAAATCCACTCGAAAAAGTGCCATTATTGAATCAATGATCTGCACAGGATCAATATAAAAAACAAATATGTGCTTGAAAATGGAAGGCAGAGGTCCATTTTAAAAGAATCAATAGAAAAAATATGCCCTGGGAGTAAGCAGTATCAAAAACTCGCACCAATAGCTTGAAGATGCCAGCTTCTTCATGGAACTTTGCTGCTACATAATCAAGTAGCTCCATCTGATGTTCACCTAGTGGGAAATGCAGTGAGATATTATAAAAGCCAGAAGCACTACTGTCTTAGCATATATGGCAAATATATTCTATTCAAAAGGGTAGCTTAGAGGGCTAGAGGTATAGTTCAGTGGTAGAGCACATAACTAGTCTGTATGAGGACCTAGGTTCAATTCTCAATACCACAGAAAAGAAAAACAGCGTTATTCTAAATTTCAAAGACATAGGATAAAAAAATAATTTGAAAGCATTTCAGTACCTAAGGACTTAACAGATGACAAAATATGTGGAGGAAAGTAAAATAAAATAAGGGAAAGCACTTCAAAAAAAGTTAAAACAAAACAAACAACCCCTCCCTTGTTTTATCAAATAGTAATTATGCTGTCCATCTTACAATCACCCAAGCATCCAATTGCATGGGACTCTTACTAGTGTATGCACGTGCATAAAGTACATTGTCCAGTACTGCATCGTGGTCTACATTGAATCGGTCAGCAATGTCCCGAAGGCGATCTGGACGGCTGAAGTGTGCCAAGATTAAGGATTCAATAAATAAATTCTAAAATCATTTCAACAACTACGATTACTTCTTAAGTAAAGTAACAAAGAGGCAAAGAGGTATTCTGGAAGGTGCTAATAATCACTCTGTCTGTACCAGATTTAAATTTATTCAGTGTGTGTGTACCAGTCCTAGGGCTTGAACTCAAGGCAGGGCCTGGGCACTATTAACTTTTTTACTCAAAGCAGGCACCCTACCACTTGAGCCACAGCTCTTCCAGCTTTCTAGTGGCTCATTGTAGAATTATTTCTGGTAGTTCATAGTCTCGTGGACTCATAACTTTCCTATCCAAGCTGGCTTTGAAACACAATCCTCAGATCTCAGCTTCCTGAGTATCTAGAATTACAGGTATGAGGCACTGGCCCCTGGCCAGACTTTAGTTTTTCTAAGTGCTTCTAATTTATATTAATGGATATAGAAATGAAGAAAACCGGGTTGGGAAGGTGGCTCAGTGGTATAGTGATTGCCTTGCATGGATGAGGCCCTGGGTTCGATTCTTCAGCACCACATAAGCAGAAAATGCTGGAAGTGATGCTGTGGCTCAAGCGGTAGAGCACTAGCCTTGAGCTGAAGAGCTGAGGGACAGTGCCCAGGCCCAGAGTTCAGGCCCCATGACTGACCAAAAAAAAGAAAAAAAAAAGATGAGAAAATGGTAACCCCTTCTGTAATTACTTATGCATAATAAAAATACAATTTTAAAAACAGTGAAGTAATGATTTATCAAATCTATAAAATAAATTGAAGGCTAGATGCTATAGCCTGTATTTTATTTTTACAAATCAGGACACTGACAGGTTAGACAAATGACTCAGGATTATACAGCAAAGGATTTGAAATAGAAAAACTAGAAACTAAGGTTTGTCTCTTTTGTTCTCAGTTCTATAAAAATAGATCTATCCTAGAACAGTAATATCATGGAATTATAATGAGTCACTGCAAAATGAATTGATTCTAAATAATCAGCTGTTTAAAATGAAATAACAAACCATTAATCATGGTTGCAAACATGATAAATTTGACTACATGAAGAGTAAAAAAGGTAATCTCATGTGTCCAGAAGGAAATGATCATCTCAATTGTCTTCTAGAGCAGTTGTTAACTTTCTGAAATTAGTAAATTCATATGAAATCAAATTCAGTAAATATGCAAAAGTGATTTGGAAGATGTCACTAATTGCCAAAATCTATGAACTATGAAGAGGTAATGAAAATTATTCTTGGGCCTTTGATGATCCTAACTATGTATAAAATATACATATTTTGAGGTTAACTGCATGTCTATGATCTCATCATCCTTTTTTTTTTTTCAGGTAAGGGGTAGGTTTATTCATCGTTCTGACTGGCACCAGGCCATCTTGGTCCTCCACATGGTAGGGAAAGAACTGGGAAAGAGAGCTGGGAGAGAGAGAAGGAAAGAGCTGAGAGAGAGCTAGAAAAGAGCAGAGAGAGAGCATCTGGGCCTGGGCTAGGCCTTATCTAGGGTATGGGTGGAGAAAGGTGTGGCCACATCAAATTTAGATGTGACCTCAGTGGATGCAGACCATCATACTTTTGTTTATATAATACTAACTATAAGTTATTGTAAAGCAAAGGATGGATATCTATAATATCTATCTGAACGAAATTTGAACTCAGAATCTCAGGCTTGCTAAGCAGACACTCTGCCACTTGAGCTTTTCCTTCAACACTTTTTTTCTTCAGTGAAGGGGATCTAACTTAGGGTCTTATACATGATGGGCAAGTGATTTCACTGAGCTACATGCTTAGCCATTGTATTATCTGTGATACATATAACTAGCTCAATATTGAATTGTCTTTAGGATTTCTCAACCATGTATATCCTAATATACTATGTTATGTTTGTGTATCTATGAGCAAAATATCTGCGGGAATAACTTAAAGTTGGAAGAACTTAGATTGGCTCCCATTTTCAGAGTTTAGTCTGCCTGGGCAAAATCATGGTAGGAATGCTGGGCAGAGTTCTCCTGTGGCCTAACCAAAACAGGAAGCAGAGAGGGGAAGGGATGCAGACTAGGTTTATCAAAGGCACTCCCTGAAAGAGCCACAAGCTGGGGACCAGTTTTCAACATGTAAATCAAATTCTTCCATTGATATTGAGTATAGATCTTTTTGAGAGACAAGTCAAAGAAAATAGAAACTGAAGAGACAAAATGCTATTTTTCAAGCTGGGTGCCAATGGCTCCTGCCTGTAATTATTATTAATCAGGTGGCTGAGATCTGAGGATCTCAGTTCAAACCCAGCCCAGGCAAGCAAGTCCCTGAAGTTCTTATGGCCATTTAATCACTAAATAGGAAGTGGGGCTGTGGCTCAAATGGTAAACATTAGCTTTGAGCAAAAGCAGCTTAGGGACAACACCCCCAGGCCAACCCCTGAAGCCCATTCTTTTTTTTCAGTCCTAAGGCATGAACTTGAGGCCTGACTGCCATCCCAGAACTTTTGCACTCAAGGCTAGCACTCTACCACTTTGAGTCACAGCTCCACTTCCAGCTTTAAGATAGGGACACAACACTTCAGCTGTGTGAGAAGTATAGATAGGGTTGTCTAGGTGTGCCCCACGGGAAAGTCTAGAGGCACCTGATAGAACAGCTAACCTACCCATGCACAAGACCTGAATTTTTTTTTTAATTACTGTGACAAACGCCCTGAAATAGAATGATTATTAAGAACTTGGAAGGTGACTAGGAAGGGGGGACATATGGGGGGAGGTTTAGATGGGTGGGTGAACATGGTAAATGCATGCTCTGCTCTTTGTCCAATTATTTTGTCCAATTTTGTTTGAATAAAACTGAAATTTAAAAAAAAAGATAGGGACACAGGGCTGGGCACTGGTGGTTCACGCCTGTAATCCTAGCTACTCAGGCAGCTGAGATCTGAGAATCATGGTTCAAAGGCAGCCCAGGCAGGAAAGTCCATGAGACTCGTATCTCTAATAAACCACCAGAAAACTGGAAGTGGTGCTGTGGCTCAAGTGATAGAGTACTTGCCTTGAGCAGAAGAGCTGAGGGACAGCACCCAGGCTCAGAGTTCAAGCCACACACACACACACACACACACACAAAGGTAAGGACAGAGGGAGCCAATACAATAGAAACTTAGTATGAAGATGTCTCTCCATGACTAGCCAAATTAACATTCAAGTGAGAGCATAATCAGCACATTTTCAAACATACCAGGATTCAGAGTTTACCACTTGGATTACATTTATGAAACAAGTAGTTATGAACTGCAGCCAAAAAAAAAAGGGGAAGAATGTTTGGGGATGAGGAAAATTAGAGTTTAATTAAGCAACTTGTCCAAGGTTTTACAGCTATTAATGATAGACCCAAGAATGGAGTCAGACATTTGAATTCAGAACCTTCTTTTGAACTACTGTGCCATGTTAATTCTACTTGTTAAAAAGGAACTTTTTACTCTTATTTATTTTGTTGGTCAGTGGGACTTGAACTCAGAGACTGGGTGCTTGTCCCTAAGCCTCTTTGTGCTCAAGGCTAGTGCCTCTACCACTTGAGCCATGGCACCACTTACAGCTTTGGAGTGGTAATTGGAGAAAAGAGTCTCATGGGGCTGGGTGCCAGTAGCTCTCACCTATAATCCTAACTACTCAGGAGGCTGAGATCTGAAAATAACAGCTGAAAGCCAGCCCTGACAGGAAAGTCTGTGAGACTCTTATCTTCAATAAACCACCAGAAAACCAGAAATGGTACTGTGGCTCAAGTGGTAGATACTTGGGCTGAAGAGCTGAGGGACAGTGCCCAAGCCGAGTTCAAGCCCCACAACCGACAAAAAAAAATTGTACTAACTAACATTAGTGTATCACACTATGTTAACATTTCATTTTAAAAAGGTTACAAAGTATTTTCTGTATCAATGAAGATAATCTTTCCTCCAGAGTAACCACCTGCTCCTGGAAGTTGAGCTGTCACTAGGGAACAATTAAAAAATTAATATTAGTGAATAAACTTCACACAAATGACTACATAAACATGAAATTTATGCTTGTTAAAACTCTTTAGTAAACAGCAAAGAATAATCATCATTTAGTTTCTAAACAACAGCATGCCACATTTTCATCTGACAAGTGAGTGGTGAAATAGTATTCTGCCCGGATAGTCTTTTTTTTTTTTTTTTT